TCTCGGGGCCGGTGGGGCGCCCGGGGCGGGGCGCGCGAGTTGCCGCGAATATATTTTTGCACATTTTTTGCGCACAGTTCCAAATACATTTTATTTGTTTTTACATGCTAATCCTATGTATAATGAACACGTACACTATATTATGGCAGTAAAACATCCGTACTGTCCGAAGACACTGTGTTACGTGCATGACACTTATGTACACATATGTTGCACATATTTACCATGTATCATGCTAATTTATGTATATATACACTATTTACAAACTATACACTGTCACACACTATATACATTCACCATCAACACATTCAGAACACCACGAGTGTGAGCAGCCACACTCAGCCAGCCTTCCCTCACTCCTCCAACATTGTATTCACCAACATTACTCCTCCAAATCATACAGTTATTCACACCAATGTTTCTTGTTCATTTATGTATATTTACAACATATGTACACACACTCTACACTGTCACACACTATATACATTCACCATCAACACACTCAGAACACCACGAGTGTGAGCAGCCACACCCAGCCAGTCCTCCCTCACTCCAACATCTTACTCGCCAACATTGCTCCTCCCACCATACTGTTATTGTATTTATTACACAATTTACACATGTTATATATACCTATCTACATGTTTTATTTACCAGAACTATGCAAGTAAGCCGGTATTGTCCAAACAGTATAGTGGCCACCATACACTGCATGACAAATCACACAGCAGACGACACCACGATTACGACGTCACCTCCCTCACCAAAATAGCTCCTCACAACATACTCCTGGTGCTGTTATTACACTATTCCACACACACTGTATATACCCATGTACATGTGTGTTCCCCCATAGCGAAAAACGAAGCTGGTATGGTGAGCAAAACAAGAGTTACTGCCACACAGTGAGGCTACCTCAATTCTCTCCCTTCCTTCCTCCCTCACCAAAATTCCTCCTTCCTACGCACAACGCTCATTATAACCACAATCCTGGTCACTAATACCTGTAAATGAATAATTGACCACAAGTTTATTTTGAAAAGGAACCTAAAAAGTCGTTTGAAGGTTCCTACATGGACGAAATAATGCTGTGGCTAGCGCTGTGAACATCGTGAACAGCATTGAATCACTGATATTTGAACATTGTACCCAGTCATTATCACACTCGGGCTCTTCTATAATACTATCATGGCTAAATAAAACAGATTATATTAGGCGATGCTGTGGTCACACGCTGAACAGCAGTGCTGTGCGCTCATGCTGCGAGCGCCAGCCTTGGTTGCTCACTCACTACTGAGGCTCTGGCACCCGGCAATGTGGACCATGATTTTTTTTAAAGATGGCGTCTGTTTACAAGAGCCCTGAGGAAGCTGATGTGAACCCCATGTAGCCGGTGGAGTTTTGAATGAAACGTGAAAAATAAAAACACCCGGTGGCGCGTTGCGCACCTGAAGCCTGGGCCTGCAGGCGCGTTGCGCAGTTAAAGGGTTAGAGAGGGAAATTCCATCTAGGGTGGACCGAGCAGCAGAAGAGATGAAAATCATAGATAAAAGAGTAGGATTAGGAGAAGGCCTAAATTCAAAGGAGCATGTCAGTGATTTTAGGAGGAAAGGAAAATATGAGAAAGACAAGAACCGCCCCTTAAGGGTGATGTTTAATGGAGTGAAGTATATGACAGAAGTGCTTCACAATACCAGAAAATTGCAATGTGATGAGGATGGTAAACTTTGGTCAATAAGACAAGACCTCTCAAAAGAGGACAGAGAAAAGCAGAAAGTGAACCTCCTTGAAACAAAATGTCTGAATGGGAATAGAAATGTAGAAGAAAGGAATTCCTTTTTCTACAAAGAGTCAGGGACTGGAAAGCTTGTGAAATGGTACATAAAGACAACGCAACAAAATCATTAAAGGAAAGGGGTGTAAAGAACAAAGGGAAGGGGGAACATATTCCTGAAAATAGTATATACCGACATAGAAGGAGTGAGATCGAAAATATTGGAGTTGAAGGATATAATTCAGCTCAAAGAACCAGATATTGTCGCATTAACAGAGACAAAACTTGAAGAAAATATTTTAAACGAGGTCGTATTCCCAAAGGGCTACTCAGTTTGGAGACGTGACAGGAAAACTAGGAAGGGAGGAGGAGTGGCTGTGCTGGTGAAAGAACACCTGAAGGTAAGAGAATTAATGTTTGAAAACCCTCGAGATATTGACATAATGGCATTGCAGGTCTGGAATCAAGATGATAAGCTGATAATTATAAATGCCTACAGCCCACCAGCAAGCAACACGTGGACAAAGGAAGAACTGGATGACAAACGAGAGGGTCTCATAATGGTCATGAGAGAGATTATGGTAAGAGCTGACAAAGATAAATCTTGATTGTTGGTACTGGGGGACTTCAACTTTAAGGCAATAGACTGGGAGACCTACGAGGCAAGAACAGAGGACATTTGGACATGCAGATTTGTAAACCTCATCTTGGAGACATTCTTGTATCAACATGTCAAGCAGGCCACAAGAATGAGGGAAGGGGATTTTCCGTCAGTACTGGATCTAGTATTCACCAGGAAACAAGAAGAGGTATTTGGCATCCAGTACCTTCCTCCCTTGGGAAAGAGTGATCACATCCTCTTTGACATTAAATATGCTATGCGATATAATCTAGTAGAGAATGGGGACAGTGAAACAAGTCGTTAAACTCGATTTCAAGAGAGGACGCTATGGGGGAACTTAGAATTTTTTTCTTCGGTATAATTGGACAGACTTGTTGCTAGGCAAGGAAGTAAATGAGATGTATGCCAAATTTTGCACAATATATGATGAAGACACAAACATTCATACCAAAACAGACATGCAGACCTAGGAAACAGGGTTGGTTCAACAGAAATTGCGAAAGGGCCAGAGATCAAAAGACACGCATGGAATCATTATAGAAAGAGGCCAAACCCCCATACATGCCAGCGATACAAAGAGGCAAGAAACAACTACACGTCAATAAGGAGAGAGGCAGAGAGGAACTTTGAGAACAGTATAGCAGACAAATGTAAATTGGATCCAAGCCTTTTCTATAAATTCATTAAAAGCAAGCTGCAGGTAAAGGATAATATTCAGAGGTTGAAAATGGGGGACAGATGCATGGAAAATGAAAAGGAAATGTGTGAAACATTAAACGAAAAGTTCCAAAGTGTGTTTGTACAAAATGAGATTTTCAGAGAACCAGACACAATAAGAATTCCAGAGAACAACATAGAGCACATAGAGGTGTCTAGAGATTAAGTGGAAAATATGCTAAAGGAGCTAAGTAAGAACAAAGCAGTTGGTCCAGATGGATTTTCACCATGGGATCTGAGACAATGTGCATCAGAACTCAGCATTCCACTTCACCTTATCTTTCAGGCATCCCTGTGTACAGGAGTTGTAGCAGACGTGTGGAAAAAGGCTAACATAGTTCCAGTCTACAAAAGTGGAAGCAGGGAAGACCCCCCTTAATTATAGACCTGTATCATTGACAAGTGTAATAGTGAAAATATTGGAAAAAATATTAAAAACTAAATGGGTAGAACACCGGGAGAGTCGCCATCACCACCACCAGTCGCCATCACCACCACCAGTCCCCGTCACCACCACCACTAGCCATCACCATTACTACCACCAGCCATCATCACCATCACCACCAGCCATCACCATCACCACCAGCCATCACCATCACCACCAGCCATCACCATCACCACCAGCCATCACCACCCATCACCACCACCAGCCATCACCCACCACCATCACCCACCACCACCCACCACCACCCACCACCACCCACCACCACCACCAGCCATCATCACCATCACCATCAAACACCAGCCACCACCACCACCACCACCAGCCATCACCACCACCACCAGCCATCACCACCACCACCAGCCATCACCACCACCACCAGCCATCACCACCACCACCCACCACCACCACCACCAGCCATCACCACCACCACCAGCCATCACCACCACCACCACCAGCCATCACCACCACCACCACCAGCCATCACCACCACCCATCACCACCACCACCACCAGCCATCACCACCACCACCACCACAATTTGCCTAAAAAATGTAGTTATGTTGTAAGTTAAAGTTGTTGAAAGTGCTGGGTTCAATATGGACGAAGGTTAGCTGCCAGAGTAGTTATGGTTACCTGTTAAAGATGTTGCATCAGTGTAATATTGTAGTGTCGTCTTCCCTGAGGGTAGAAAGAGTAGACAATGAGTCACAATAACCTGGCTTAAGATATGAAGACTAAACCCCGCGCTACACAATGAGGAGACGACAACATTTCGCTCCGTCCTGGTCTTTTATCGTGGTGGAAACGTTGTGTTCTCCTCGTATTGTGGCGTGCGGTTTGATCTGCATGGAAATAGTCATTTTGACACATTTGAATATTTGAGAAGCATTGATCACTTTGCTCTGAGAGTTACACTGTAACATGTATACAGATTTAACTCTCATAGCAAAGTGATAGTTGCTTCTCAAATATTCAAATGTCAGAAACTACTATTTCTACTAGGATAAAACCACACGCCAGAAAATGAGTCGACGACGACGACTGGGAGCCGGTCGGCCGAGCGGACAGCACGCTGTACTTGTGATCCTGGGTTCGATCCCGGGCGCCGGCGAGAAACAATGGGCACAGTTTCTTTCACCCTATGCCCCTGTTACCTAGCAGTAAAATAGGTACCTGGGTGTCAGTCAGCTGTCTCAGGCTGCTTCCTGTGGGTGGAGGCCTGGTCGAGGACCGGGCCGCGGGGACACTAAAGCCCCGAAATCATCTCAAGATAACCTCGAGACGTTTCGATAATAATGGTCCAGGACAGACCGAGAAGTCGTCGTCATCTCATTTTCTGGCGTGTGGTTTAGGCGTCATAGAAATAGTAGTTTTTAACATGTTTCAATATTTGAGAAGCAATGATGTCTTTGCTGTGTGTGTAAATGTATATACATGTTGCAGTGTGCCACATCATCAAGCAGGGCCGATGCACGTTGCTGACCACGCTGCAAATGTTCAAAATATTGGCCCTGAATGCTCTCATCCTGGCCTACTCTCAGTCGGTCCTCTACCTCGACGGCATAAAGTTCTCGGACTACCAGGCCACGCTGCAGGGGCTACTCTTGGCAGCTTGCTTCTTATTTATTTCTAGATCAAAGGTAAGGTGTTATATAGCCCTTGTTTCTTGCTGTTTTTTTTTTTTTTTTTTTAATGGAAACACATTGAAATTTTTAATGTTTTGCTTCAACATGTGTTACATGGTATGTTGGATGTACTGAGCTGTGTTATGCATTCAGAGGGGAGCATGTATCAACATGAATACATGTGGAGAGGGGGGGGGGACCTGCTGCATGGGTGACAGCTTCTCCTCCATATCAACCTACCCTGGCTTTGCACCCTGGAGAGGCCATTTCAGACCGACATATAAATAATTTTGTGGTGATGAGCGTCCAAAATGTTAAATATTTGTTAAAATTCCATTTATTGTGCCATTATTATGGGACTAGTTTTAAAATACTCACCTTTATATTGCTAACAATTTGATACCAAATTGAAAGATGTAACATGAAAATTGATGTTATCAAACTGAATAAGTATATACATTAGGTTGCGGCTGTGCCAATTGGTGCTCGTTCACGGGTAACTTTAGGCTTTGCTGCAGGGAGTCACACCAGGCTTTTGGACCTTATATGCACATACCCCCTGTAAAGAATTCTATTGTGAACATAATGATACCAAAACGAACGACATAGCACGAGAATTAAGGTGAGAAAACAGAAACGAGTATACACATTTTACTGATTTTGTGCGCTCACAGGTAACTTTGCCGACTTTAGGCTTTGCTGTGGGAAGTCACACCGGGCTTTTGGACCTTTTATGCATATACCCCTGTAGGGAATTCTATTGTGAACACAGTGATACCAAAATGAACGACGCAACATGAGAATTAAGGTAAGAAAACTGAAATGAGTATACACATTTCGGTGTCGCCGCTCGCTCGCCAGCACGCTTACCTGCACCGCCGGGGCCATAACGTTAAAGTTTGTAGCACGCACTCCCGGGGTGCGAAAGTGTTAAGAGGACAGGTTAGGTCCATTACTACAGGAATGTTGTAACTGTAGAGGGTGGTGGGGCTTAACGTGATTGAGTTTGGAGGGCAGTCGGAAGGATAAAGTACCGAGGAATTATTCTTACCCGTTGTTTTGTGTCTCTATGTTGGTCAGCTGGAGATGTGCAGCTGTGTATTGCTGTTCAGTTGTCGTTGCTGCTGCTTCCTGTACCATATCTGTTAGTGAGTTAGGTGGTGCTTTCCTGGAACAACCGTGGACATCTTCAAGAGAAAACTGGACTATTTTCTAAAAGACGTTCCAGACCAACCGTGTTGTGGTGGGGATGTGGGCCTGCGGGCCGCTCCAAGCAACAGCCTGGTGGACCAAACTCTCACAAGTCAAGCCTGGCCTCGGGCTGGGCTTGGGGAGTAGAACTCCCAGAACCCCATCAACCAGGTTCCCCCTGCTTTGCATCATCCCTTCCCCCCCTTAATCGTTTTTTGGATATTTTACTTTGGATTTAACGCCTTCTAATAATTTTCCGTGACCCTTGGTTCTCCCTTCTTCAGTCATTAGTGTCTGCAAGATGTCCGTTTACTCCATCGCTTGATGCTTACGATTAAACGCTCATTTTACAGCTTAATAGCATTTGTATTAGACTTGTATTGTACTGTTCTAAGAACAATTGCTCCCTGTTTTGTAGTGGATAGGGTCTTTGTCGGCTCTCCTCAAAAGCAAAGAACTGTTGGGTGCGAACCATGGGCAGGGAGGGCACCGATGCTTCAGTATTTGTCAGTTTCCACAGCAGCAATTGGGGAGACTTGGGAAAACACTTAACACTTTCGCCCGGGCATGACGCAGCATTGCGTCATCCGTTTACTGTCGGTAATCTCGGGGATGACACAGCATTTCGTCATCCACTAAAATAATTGCCAAAAATCAGATTTTTATCCAATTTTTGGGGGACTGTTTGGTAACTGTCAACAAGCCGAATGCAATCTGTGACTACAATACAAACATGAAAGGTGTTGATCACTTTGACCAAATGATCAAATATTATCACTTCATAAGGAAAACTCACAAATGGATGAAGAAAATGACCATCTATTTTGTGCAAATGGCTATCTACAATGCTTATGTGATGTACAACTACTACACAAAAAATACTAAACTATAATACTACATATACTAAAATACTAAATACTAAACATTTGTGGGCAGGAATTGGGAGTGTAGCTGGAAGGCATCTGGGCGCTCACTCGCGGTTAACGTGTGGCCCGTCTTCAACTCGTCGGCGGGTGGAGTGTGACCAGGTTTTTTATTTTATATGCTAATGTTCCTCTAGAGAATTCTATTGCGAACCCATTGATACCAAAATCGAAGACCTAGGACGAAAATTGAGGTGACCAGAATGAAAAGAGTGAACACATTTTATCGCTTTTGCGCGCTCCTGGGTAACTCGTTCGCACTTTCTGTTTGCTGCGGGTAATTAGCCGGGCTTTTGGAGTTTATATGCATTTAGTGCTGTAGAGAATTCTATTGCGAACACAATGATACCAAATTTAATCTCGTAGGACGAGAATTAAGGTGACAAAGATGAAGAGAGTATACACTATTCAGAATTAACGCGCGCTCCCGTGAAACGCTGGGACCCAAATGGCACAGTTGAGGGGTGGCGCGCGGGGCACGCCAAAGTGTTAAGCTGCAAACAAATGGCATAACATTTCTGCTCCTGCATCATTTAGTATCCAAACAATCTGACTAATTGGTAACTATTTATTCAGTGTAAATTATAGCATTTACGTATGTATCTTAGGTCATTACTTAATCATAATTAGGGATGTTAATGAATCTGTCTTTCTTGCAGCCCTTGAAGATTCTCAGTAAAGAGCGACCTTTACCCAATATATTTAACGTTTACACAATCATGACGGTGCTACTGCAGTTTGCCGTCCATTTTACCTGTCTGGTGTTCCTCGTGAAGCAAGCCAACGAATGGTCACCCCCTAAGTAAGTCCCTCGGTTTAAGAGCCGGAAGTGGTTTTGAAGAATGTGTCGGGTCCGGATAGTTAACATAAAGGATAAAGATCCATGTAGTGAATGCTGGCAATGATCCACATTCACCATCCTATTCTTGGATCACATCGTGCCGTGATTTTTGTTCCATGTGGAACTTTGTCCTCTGCCATTTATTTGAGTATAGTAATTGCATGATTCCAGCAGCTACATCGGATCAGTATACTGGCTGGCTTTTGTGTGTGTCAATATATGATCATCCTATCTTTTGAATAATTTTAAATATATTTCCTGGAATTATACATCAAAAAAAGGGAACGTGAATTGAAATACATTTTGTTCATTTAGAAAAGATTTTTGGACAACTTTTGGTGGTGATGATGTGTTTAAAAGTATTTAGCCTATAGAGTGAACACTGTTCACTTTATTTACAAGTGTGTTTGTGTTTCAGAGAAAAGTTTGTCGACTTGGAAAAAGAGTTCGAGCCCAGTTTGTTGAATAGCACCGTGTACGTTATCTCCATGACGCTGCAGATATCCACGTTTGCTATCAATTATCGCGTGAGTCATTTTTTTGTCTTTGTCATAGAGTAAGCAGTCTTAACTGTGGCCTCGAACTGCTCAAAGGACATTGTGGCTTGGTTCCTATACTGTGTTCAAGAAACATTTTTGGGTTTTTACCGCAATTTGATAATAAGGGTACTTTTCGAACCATTAAAGGTAGTCTCACCAGGGTCTGTCAACATTGAAACTATTCGACCGCTTGCAGTGGTTTGCCATTTACGTTTATTTTACAGCCAGAATTTATTCAGAAAGATGATTCAGGAATGTGTAGGACTTGCCACAGAGCTCTTTAGAGTGTCTTGTCTGAATTACAAAAAATTCAGAAAAAATCTGTTGCAAAATATACTTTGGAAAATGCACTGTACTTTGTCAGATATTCTTTGAAAATTGTACCATTGTGCACTATTATCTGATAATGGGTTTAGGATTGACGTGTTTGTTTGCCCGTGGCGTTTTAGCCAAAATTTTAACGCATCTTTTCTCTAGGGCCATCCCTTCATGGAGAGTCTAGTGGAGAATAAGGCTCTTCTCTACAGCCTCATAGGCTCGGGGGGAGTCGTTCTGGCCCTCGCCCTCGGCATCGTGCCAGAGTTCGCGCAACAGTTTGAGATTGTGGACTTCCCACAAGAGGTAATGTATATGTTTTGTTTCTACATGTACCTGTATCCACTTGTTTGTATATGTGCTTGCTGGGGGGGGGGAGGTGCTGGCTCTCGGGTCAGCCTGTTCGCTCGAGTTGCCATGCCATAAAAAATGTATACGTTCTTCCTGAACGAAATCGATGACTAATGCAACCCATGTAACCTATTGAGACTGAAGAGCAGAAAACATCAATACTATCATAAAGGTGCTTTAAATATTTACATTTACATCATTTTCTTAAATTTTAATTTTGTTAAATACAGCCACACATTAGGCGAGATGATGGCTGCTTATGTGCCAACTTTTAGATGGCGGTGATATCGGGTGATGTCTGCCACTGTTTAAATAAACCTTGGGTCCACCACACGGCTGCTGATGCTTGTCAGTTTCCACAATCTTCTTAGCAGAGCTCGGATGAAACTGTCTTACGAGACCAGCTTCTGGGCACCTACTCGGTGCTGAATATTATCACAATCATCTTATGGTTTGGCCCTTCTGTCACAGCGTCAAGTTGACAAGATCTGCCCAACAGGTGTGGAGTGCCAGTCTGCAGGTGTGGCCTTACTCGAATCTCGGGCATGAGTGATGCATTTCGGCCAATCCCAGTGTCCCTGTTACCTAACTTGCTTCGCACCAATTCATTCTCAAAATCGGCATCTTGGTTCATTACTCTGACAATGTATTTCCCCGCCCTCTAATTGCACCCGAGTGAGAAACTGTTCTCGATCTGTAAATTCTTCACCATTACTAAATTCTCTACCTAAAAATCACAAAAACACACACTGACCCTACCTATGTTCATCTAAGCTTAACACGGTGACAAAAACAGTCTTGTAATTACCACACCAGAAGAACTCTGGTGTAGCAGGTGCTACATGCCAGGTTGGGAGAGGTATTGTGGCTGCTGGAAGTTCCCACTTGAATGTCAAAATGTGTGTGTGTGGGGGGGGGGGGGGGTGCTGGCTGGCATGATGAAACACACGAAAGAAAATACTTTCCTCAAAATATCCTGGAAAAAATGGGTGCACAGGCCTAGTGTGGGGTTATCTTGAGACGTTATCTCGATGATTTCGGGGCTTAGCGTCCCCGCGGCCCGGTCCTCGACCAGGCCTCCTTTTTGTTACACGTCTCCCATGAAGCAGCCCATAGCAGCTGTCTAACTCCTAGGTACCTATTTACTATTTGGTGAACAGGTGCATCAGGGTGAAAGTAACTCTGCTCGTATGTCTCCGCCTCCACCGGGGATCAAACCCGGAACCTCAGGACTATGAATCTGAAGCACTGTCCACTTGGCTATCAGACCCCCTTATAAGGGTTGCATCTTATAATACCACAAGTATGGTAAAAAAGATGGTAGCTGTATTGTTGCTTCAGTGGAGACTGAGACTTGGGACGAACAAGGTGGCTGGATCACTATTATGTGAACATGTACCTGTTGGGTGCCCTTGAGAGCCCTCTGAAGTGACCAACAAAACTAGCCTCCTTGGGTCGGGGAGCAATGCCACGTAAATACGCACTTTTGGCCAAGCTTCATATTTTGCCTTTTGAGTGTTTCATGTGCGGCAACACTATGGTCATACGTGTCGGAGGTTTTTGCAAAATGTGTGTGTGTGTATTACTGCACTGTATATCAGTGTTTTACTTGTCTTCCATGGCATCTAAGGCCATGCCACTCATAGTACTTGTAGTCAAGCAATTGTGAGAGGCAGTCGGTAGTGCTCTATTGTTGTGAACCCTTGTTGTCCAGATTATGTCGACACTGGTTCCGATGTGTTTTGAGATCTTGCTTAGCACTCTGAAAGATTTTTATGATGTGTGATGTTAGTGCTCTTGGTCTATAATTTTGTTGCTTCTGCTTTATTCCCTCCTTTATGGAGTGGTGTTATCTCCACTGTTTTAAGTGTGTCGGGGGATAACACCACTCTCTAGGCTCCGTTTCCCAAAAATGTTAAGGGCCTGTGATAGTGGTTTTTACAGTTCGTAGTGTAACATTTAAACTTACTGTAATTTAATTAATATGTTACATTCTAAAAGAGACCTCTTGTATGTTATTGTGAGATGGAAAGGCCCAAATTCAGTAGACTTTTAATAAAGATGTTTTATTTGTAAGGTTTTTATTAAATGTAAACAGATATATAGGACCGGCTACTTTTAAAGGTCAAATTGGAATGACACAGGTTTCGGGGGATGCTAAACCATGTATGTAAATACACGAATATATAATGAACGAACATAAACAACACAGTGTGGAGTTGACTTAATCATTTGACCTGTGCGTGTACCTAGCATCTGTTCAGTGATCTGTTAGCAAGTAACATAATAGATGTGTGATCACTGGATTGCTTCAGGTAAAGTTACATTTTCTGTTAATTTAACAAGAAAACAAATTGACAAAAAACACTTTGTTAATGCAACGTTTTGACCTTTCTTCCCCAACCACAGTATCGCATTATGTTGGTGAAGGTGCTGGTGGCCGATTTTGCCCTCTCACTGATCGTGGATCGCGTCTGTCTCTTCTTGTTCGGGGAAGGAAGATTACCTTCGCAACTTCGGAGAAGTGTCCTGTGAGGTGGCGGGACAAACTTTGTTTGTTGAGGGAAGAAATATTACATAGAGAACTTTGATAAAGGTGGTGAAACCATGCCAGGTGTTGGTTGTTGAGGGATGGAAGATGGCCTCCTCAGCTTGGGCAAGTGTGTACTGTAACGTGGTAGTGGTGGAGGAGGAGGAAGGTAAAATGGAAAAACATTGATAAAGCAAGTGGTGATATAATGATGTTTCTGAATGCCTGAGTGACGAGGTGTTTGTAATCTGAATGAATCTGCAATTATTCTTAATTGGTAGTTTCCAATTTTCCAGGTAATTATTGGTACGGAGGATATTCATTAATGCATTTAGCCGACTGAAATGAGAATGAGAATTTCTAAATGACATGTACATATATATATTAAACATTTATTTATTGAATCTATTTATATATCAATTTCTACGTCCAGGATCATTCTTCCTATCAAATCCCCATCCTAGAATTTAAGCTGATATATTGTGATTCATGGAAGCGTACGGTTACGGTGCATTTGTAACGAAACGAACACAATTGTGACACCAAAGTTGACTGTAGGAATATCATAGCCATTCCCTCGTGTACAGAACTGAAAGTAATAGTTTCCATTCTTTGCTTTGCTTTTTTTCTCTTTTTTTATAACCATTCTGATATGTTTGAGAAAGGCACGCCATGTTGCAATTGGAACTTGCTCAATCTTGTCATACTTTTTTATAGCGGAGACTGAGTCCAAGTTGGTGTAGTCGGTGTCTCAAGAACTGAGGTGCAAGGTAGTTAATGTATAGATAAAATATCTGGCGTACATTGCTACTGATGGCGCAAGTGAACCCGCATGTTGCAGGAAGGGGAGACGTGTTTTGTACTTGTCTGCATGTCTTCCGTAACACCTGTAGAGTTGTGTGTACAGCTGGGACCAGAGCTGCTGGGAACGTTGTGTACATTTGTGTGTGTGTGTACCGAGACTGGAATTGCAGTACTGTTCAGCACAGTAACACAGCACAGTAACGTAAGCAGAACTGACATGGACGATACGTACCAAACTCGTTTCCGTTCGTGTTTTCCTTGAGGTATGGGCTTTCTTGTGCTGGTGATACATGTTCTTGACACATTTGTGATTGGATGTTAATGTTGATCTGGGTTATTGTCACGAATTTATTTATATATGTTGGGCCTAATAGGCCAAGTTGCCTAAAAAGCCGAATTTTCCTGAAATATTAATTTTTCAAATACTTTTTCTTGTGGAATGATGCAGCTTTACATGATTTAAAACAGAACAAATTACTTTCATTGAGAAGTAACATAAAAGTTTGATTAACCCTCACCTTCTTAACTTAGCCTAACATAGCATAACCTAACATAACCAAGTTAGTAATTCATGCTCCTAATATACAGTAATATTTTTGTTAGAAAAGAACTAATATGGAAAGAAATATTTGAAAATTCTGTATCGAAAATCATTCGGCTTATTGGGCAAATCGGACCTTGCATACTAGGCCAAGTAGTGCAGTTCTGGCTGTTAGGCACAACATAAATATATATATATATACGGTATATATATAGAATGTTTATTTCTGCATTTATTACCTGTTCTTTTATATTCTGCCAATGAAATTCCTTTTTAAATAATAAATTGTTCTAATATTTCCTTGTGGGTTTGTGAGGACAGACCAAATATGTACTGTTATTTTCTTACTGCTGTTTGATAGCCAAATATCGCTGGGGATGTGCTACAAGCTTAAGTGTTTGTTGCTATCCATATGTGAAATAAAAGAATGTTAATATTCATAATATATTTATGAATAAAATGTTGAAGGTGGATATCCTTATTTTCATTTCTAGCTTGTGGTTCCCTTGTGTCGGTTCCGAGATCAGCGGCGCTCCTGCAGACCCTTTTCCGACGAAGGCCTTCTCCTCCTAGCATATACTAAGATTCCATATGGTAACGGCTACAGTTTATGTACCTTTGGACCGTGTTTTGGTTGATTTTTTCTTGTTTTCTCTTCCGTGCGTGCGTGTGTGTGCGTGTGTTTTTTTTTTTTTTTTTTTTTTTTTTTTTTTTTTTTTTTTTTTTTTTTTTTTTTTTTTTTTTTTTTTTTTTTTTTTTTTTTTTTTTTTTTTTTTTTTTTTTTTTTGCGAGTGTGACTGGAAATGGGTCTAGTGATAAATGGAGTGGGGGTGTGGTGTGCTCTGGTTCTAGTTGTACCAGGCAGCCTGTTCAAGGACCGGGCCGCGGGGAAGTTGAACCGTGAAATCATCGCCAGGTAAGGTAAGGTTCTGGTCTTGCACGACCGGCCAACACGGGGGTCACGTGGCTTTATGAAGGGCTGCTCATTTTTCAACAAATTTAATCTTCATTCTTTTCTGATATATTTTGAGCAGCTGGAAGCAGGAAGGAGTGCCACATTCTATGTCTTAGACTTTTGTGAAGCCTTTTGATACTTTTGAGACTTGGTAAAAAGTTAGATATACGGTATTGGGGAGCTTGCCTAGTTTGAAGTAGAACTTGGTTATGTCGTAGATTGCAGAGAGTTGGCATAAATGGAGTGAAGTCTGTGTGGGGGAAAACATCTGTTCTGACACCTCATTTGTTTACCATATATGTCACCTATATAGATGTAGCATTGAACATCAACATCTGCAAATTTGAACATGATACTAAAATTTGGTGAGAAGTAAATTGCTAAGCCGACACAAAATTACTTAGACTCTCTAGGTAAGGTTGCAGATAGAACAGCAAGATTGGGAGATGCAATTTAATGTTGAAAAAACGTATAGGTTTCGTATTGCAGGTAATACTATTAGTTAGCAGAGATTGATTGTATGATCTTCGGCCAGACATTGCAACCACTTGCATCGATGTGTAGTGAGCTTACTGGCAACATTTTTAAATAGTGCTGTGATTCATCACCCGGTGTCACTACGAGGTTCATGGATTTGGTATCATAGTTTGAATGAAGAGCTTTGAAACTTCATGAGCTTGTCCACAAGGTGTGCTTTAGCCTCATCATGCCTTACAATTATCTTTACAACACTTATTTTGTCGTTACTTTTCTACATCACGAAACTTCTTGAGTGTCCGTTTTTTGTATATTCCGTTAGCTTCTTTTTGTGTAAGGTACGTTGTCTTTGTGGCTTGGTGCCTCTTTTTGTGTAAGGTACGTCGTCTTTGTGGCTTGGTGCCTTTTTTTGTGTAAGGTACGTCATCTTTGTGGCTTGGTGCCTCTTTTGTGTAAGGTACGTCATCTTTGTGGCTTGGTGCCTCTTTTGTGTAAGGTACGTCATCTTTGTGGCTTGGTGCCTCTTTTGTGTAAGGTACGTCGTCTTTGTGGCTTGGTGCCTCTTTTGTGTAAGGTACGTCATCTGTGTGGCTTGGTGCCTCTTTTGTGTAAGGTACGTCATCTGTGTGGCTTGGTGCCTCTTTTTGTGTAAGGTACGTCGTCTTTGTGGCTTGGTGCCTCTTTTTGTGTAAGGTACGTCATCTGTGTGGCTTGGTGCCTCTTTTTGTGTAAGGTACGTCGTCTTTGTGGCTTGGTGCCTCTTTTGTGTAAGGTACGTCATCTGTGTGGCTCGGTGCCTCTTTTGGAAAATTACTTAAAATAAAACCATTTTGTGAGAGATTTTTTGGGACTGCATCCCTCAAGTGCTGAGAATTTAGCAAAAAGTATGCTCCCCCCCCCGGGGAGTATAAGGTAGCCGGTTGGTCGAGCTGACAGCACAGTGGATCTGTGATACTGAGTTTCCTGGGTTCGATTCCAGGCGCCGGCGAGAAACACATGGGCAGAGTGTCTTAGACCCGAAGCCCCTGTTAAAAATGCAGTAAGAACAAAGCATAGCGTTTCACCATGGGTTCTGAGAGAATGTGCATCTGAGCTCAGCATTCCACTTCACCTGATCTTTCAGGCATCAGGAATCGTAGCAGACGGGTGGAAACAGGCTAACATAGTCTAGCTTCATTGACAAGTGTAATAGTGAAAGTATTGGGGGTGGAGGCCTGGTCGAGGACCGGACCGCGGGGACACTAAAAAGCCCCGAAATCATCTCAAGATAACCTCAAGATAACTTGGCCATGTTATGGAATGTGGAATAGGAGAACCCCCCCCCTTTCCCATATAAGGTATATAAGGTCCTGTAGCACAGTGGTCTATGTACTGACCTGGTAACCAATGGACCCAGTGTCAGTCCCTTGGTGGGGTGGAAACACTTGAACACATTTTCTTTCACCTAATACACATGTTCACTAGCAGTAAAATAGGTGCCTGTGAGTTAGAGAATTGTTGTGGCATATATCCTTGGGCAGGTTTATAGGCTTCCTTTTCCTGCACAACAACAACAAGAACTAAAAAAAACCAGCCCCTCTTGTTCCATACAGTACATTGTTTGGCAGTTTAGGGTCCAGTTGTACCCGAGACATTACTTCATAGGTTAGTATTGAGCACCAAGACCCATCAGTCAGTTATTTTGAGATGATTTCGGGGGTTAGTATCCCCGCGGCCCGGTCCTCGACCAGGCCTCCACCCCCAGGAAGCAGCCCATGACAGCTGACTTATCTCCCAGGTACCTATTTACTGCTAGGTAACAAGGGCATCAGGGTGACAGAAACTCTGCCCATTGTTTCTCACAGGCTTCTCACAAGTCACAGGATGGATTGTAATGTGCCTGTTTATAACCATCAGGTATTGTGCACTTTTATCTCAATCAGAATTGAGTTACAAATTAGAGTAGAGCCAACTTTTACTGTATATACACTGTGGTACACTGAAAACTATACGTGTGTATGCTGTATAACTGTAGACTATGATTCTTCCCACTATCTAACAGCAGTCCTGGTGTGCTGAATAGTTGTCAGTCATTGTGGGATGCCTTCGTAGGGAGGATACCGTTTGAAAGTATTTCGTTCACCACACATTCAGTGTGGTGAACGGCTTATTTTGTAATGGAAAAAACTTTGTACTTAAGTTACTGCGTTCAGGCGATGAGTCACAGTAACGTGGCTAAAGTATGTTGACCAGACCACACACTAGAAGGTGAAGGGACGACGACATTTTGGTCCGTCCTGGACCATTCTCAAGTCTAAAGTCAATTCTCAATCGACTTGAGAATGGTCCAGGATGGACCGAAATGTCGTCGTCCCTTCACCTTCTAGTGTGTGGTCTGGTCAACATACTTAAGTTACTCCATGTTTATCCCCCCTCTTAATCTCTTAATGCACATAGTGTACTGTATTTACTTTTGTATTGGCATCCCGAGTGATCTTTGAGGCTTTGAATACCCCTTGTGACACGGACACCCCTGAATGGTTTTTTTGGCATTGTGACTCCTGTTGGTAACTATGTAATCCTATGCTAATGACTTCCTACTACTGGGTTTACAAAAGTCGATTCTTCGTCAGTGTCGCCTGTTGTATATAAAAGCCTATTAAATAATTATGGTATTCTGAAAATGTGAATAATAATACTAATAATAATGCTCCATAAAACTGTGTGTGTAGGGCAGGAGAGCCTAGTTCATTAATCACTCAAATTAATGTTGTTTATATCCTAGTTTAATGCTATGAACATTGCACAGGTTTTTTTATTTTCCCAGGAGGGTCGTAATGGCTGACACCACATCATTAATCTTAGAGCTGCTATCAATAATTTGCTAGCATTCTTGTTAAATGTAACAGAAAAGTATATATTATATAATATATATATATAAAGTACACTGTGAATGTGTGTGGTGCTTGCACCAGACTAAGTGCATACACTTAGGTAATTACTTTATGAAATAGTTTACAAAGATGGAGCCTCCAAGTCTGGGCCACAAAAGTACGAGCACGTCGCCACCACCTAGACCAGGAGTGAGCCGCCCTCGGCATGCATGCCAAACTTGGCACGCAAACTACTATTCTTGTTTTTCTTCCAGGTTTGTGATACTCGGGCCTTGCCTTAAAGAAATAATGAAATGAATATCCAGGCCAAGTTGGATGTTTTAACTTAAAATTGTTTTATTAAGTAGAGCGATACCAAATAAAAATGCAATAAAGAAAATGTCCAGGACTTGAGTAAACTCAGTGTATATACACCAAGAAGCTGCGTACACCTCTCGGTGTATATATATTCACTTCTTGGTGTATATATTCACTTCTCAGTGTATATATTCTCTTCTCGGTGTATATTCACCTCTCGCTGTGTATATATATTCACCTCTCGGTGTGTGTATATATATTCACCACTCGGTGTGTGTGTGTATATATTCACCTCTCGGTGTGTGTGTGTGTGTGTATATGTTCACCTCTCGGTGTGTGTATATGTTCACCTCTCGGTGTGTGTGTGTATATATTCACCTCTCGGTGTGTGTGTGTGTGTATATGTTCACCTCTCGGTGTGTGTGTGTGTGTATATGTTCACCTCTCGGTGTGTGTATATGTTCACCTCTCGGTGTGTGTATATGTTCACCTCTCGGTGTGTGTGTATATGTTCACCTCTCGGTGTGTGTGTGTATATATTCACCTCTCGGTGTGTGTGTGTGTGTATATGTTCACCTCTTGGTGTGTGTATATGTTCACCTCTCGGTGTGTGTGTGTGTGTATATGTTCACCTCTCGGTGTGTGTATATGTTCACCTCTCGGTGTGTGTGTGTATATGTTCACCTCTCGGTGTGTGTGTGTGTGTGTATGTTCACCTCTTGGTGTGTGTATATGTTCACCTCTCGGTGTGTGTGTGTATATATTCACCTCTCGGTGTGTGTGTGTGTGTATATGTTCACCTCTTGGTGTGTGTATATGTTCACCTCTCGGTGTGTGTGTGTGTGTATATGTTCACCTCTTGGTGTGTGTA